GATGACTCCATAACTGAGATAAGGAGGAATTTCTTCAGCCAGAGGGTGATTAATCTGTGGAACTCATTGCCGCAGATGGCTCTGGAGGCCAAGTCATTGAGTGGATTTAAGACAGAGATAAATACGTTCTTGATTAGTAAGGGAATCAAGTGTTATAAGGAGAAGGCAGGAGTTGAGAAACATATCAGCCATGATCGAATGACCTAATTCTGCTCCTATATCTTATAGTCTTATGGTTTTATGGCCCTCCTGCCTATCATATCTAAGTTAGTCATCCATATCTGTCTATTCTAATACCATTTTCCAACACATGAACCCATAGCCTTGTATCCTATGGCAATTCAAGTGCTCATCTACAAAGTTCTCGGACGATTTGAGGTTTCCCATCTCTACCATCCTTTTAGGCAGTGAGTTCCACAGACACACAACCCTCTGAGTGAAAATATCCCACCTAAACATTCTTCTCCTTATCCTAAAACTTTGGCCCCTTGTTAGTGATCCCTCTACTAAGGGAAAAAGATTTCTCTCTATCTACCCTGCCCAAGTCCCTCAATACTTTGCACACCTCTATCAGATTCTCCCTCACCCTTCTCTGCTCTTAGGAAAACAAACCCAGCCTATCTGGTCTCTCTTCACAACTGAATTGGTCCAGCCCACAGAACATCCTGGTAAAACTCTTCTGCACCCTCTCTACAGAGATCACATCCTTCCGATAGTAGGGTGACCAGAACTGCACACAGTACTCTAGCTGCAGTCAAATTTATGTTATATACAGCTTCATCATAACCTCCTTACTCTTATATTCAATGCCTTGACTAATAAAGGCAAATATCCCATATGCCTTCTCAACCACCTTATCTACCTGAGCTGCTGCCTTCAAGGATCTATGGACATGCACACCAAGGTCCCTTTGATCTTCTGTACTTCCTAGGGTCCGACCATTCAACGTGTACTCCCTTGCCTTGTTAGTCTTCCCAAAATTCATCACCTCACACTTTTCAGGATCAAATTCCATTTAGCACTGTTCAGCCCTTTTATCTAGTCCTGTAGTCTAAGGCTTTCCTTCTCGTTATTTACCACACCACCAATTTTCATGTCATCTGCAAACTTACTAATCATACCTGCATATCATTAATGTACACAGCAATAGCCAGGGACCCAGCACCAACACAGCCCTGTAGTACACCACTGGACACAGGCTTCCAGTGATAAAAACACACTTTGACCATTACCCTCTGCTTCCCATCACTCGGCCAAATCTTGGATCTAATTTGACAAATTGCTCTGGATTCCATGTGCTTTTAGTTTCTTAACCAGTATGTCATGTGAGACTTTTTCAAAAGCCTTACCTGAAGTCCATGTAGACTACATCAACTGCACTACCCTCAGCTATACAGCTAGTCACCTCATCAAAAAATTCAAACAAATTTGTTAGACATGATTTCCTCATACAAAATCATGTTGAATATTTTTGATTAATTTTTGTCTCTCCAAATGGAGATTAATTGTTTCCCACAGAAATTTTTCCAATAGTTTCGCTACCACAGATGTTTGAATCGCTGGCCTGTAGCTTCCTAGTTTATCCTTACCACCCGCCTTGAATAACGTTACCACATTAGTTTTCCTCCAGTCCCCCAGTACGTCTCCTGTGGCCAGACAGAGTTTGAAAATTAATATCAGAGCCCCTGCAATCTCCTCCCTTGTCTCGCTCAATAGTCTGGGATACATTTCATCTCATCCTGGGTATTTATTCAATTTCAAACCTGCTAAAATTGCTAATACCTCAATTATCTCGATGCTAGTTCATTCAAGTAATGTTATCCATCATTGTTCTCCTAATTTCTTTTTTAAGCAACCCCCTGCACTTTATATATTAATCTTGGGCACCCACCATTTTGAGCCTTTGTAGCTACCTTAAGCTTCCTTTCCTTTTTTTGTGATGTTACTGAGTGCAGAATGTTAATGAACAAGCAAAGGATGGATCATTGATGGACACTGAAGGTAAAGCTGCAGAGGTGGAAAGGGAGCCATTGCAAGTGCTTCTCTGCCTCTGACTGAATAAACAAGAATGGAATCTGGTGTGTGCAGTCCTACCTAGATGAATAATAGTGAAGGAGCTTTGGAGGGGACATGGTATGATCAACCATGTCAAAGGCTGCAGGCAGTTCAATTGTGACCTTAATGAAAGTCATTGAGGAACTGTGTTATGGGCAAGGATTGACCATGGCACGTTTACAATGCCACACAGCAATTGTCAATTAAGTGGTATAAATAATGGGTGAATTATTTGCTAAACATTTAAGAAAAAAATGTTTATTTCAAAAAGCCACATTTGTTCTAATTTTATATTAAATCGTATACTTAACTGCAAAACACTAAACGGCCAATGTTTTAATAGCCTTGGCAATATCTAGTTGTGTTCAGTAACAATAATGTATTATTGCATTGCACTTTATTAAAGGTCTTTTTGTCTTTAATCATTTACAGAATCCAACCAGCTTGCTACATTCAGGCATTCCCGTATTTTGTTTCCAATGGGCTGCTCGAGTTACTTGAGTTTTGAAGGGAATCAATGGTGAGCATCCAACGATTGGATGCAATCATCCTGCTCATTCACACTCGGGAAATAGTAGTAGCACTCAGTTATTAAGTCCAAATTAATTTCTGCATATTATTTAACTGATCGCCAGGTACACAAAAGCAAATAAGAAATTCCCATTCAAATAGAGATAAGGGCGTGAGTGCTGATATCCACCTAACAATTGCAAGCAGTTACAAAGTCTGACTTTCTTCCAAACAAATATTTTGGATCAGTTCCTCCCCTTTATGATGAGAACTATTTACATTTCAACGTTTTCTCCACCGAGTTCAATTAGCGTAAATTGTATTTAATTAAGATTCCATCTCTATTGGACAGTAAAATAATGCTTAGGGCAAACTGGGATTTATTTGTTTAAATAAAAAAGTTGTTAAAAATAGTGCTTTCCTCGTACACGGTAAATGCAGCTTTAATTCGACAGTAGAGGCAATAGTACATTCTAACGGGATCAAATAATTTGTTGCACTAGGCGAGATAACTCGGAAATTTCGGAAACTAATGTGAAATTTACTAAAGATTAAATTTCACTGATCGCCAAACCCATGGATTCGGGATTTTCGAACACTATAGTATGTTTCGCATTTAGCCCCCAGAGTATTTTCCTCAAAGTGTATCTAGCGCCGAAATTTTAATATGTAAAGTTGTAATTTATTAATTTGAAATCGAATATAGCCATGATACACTCCATCGGCGCTGCGGTGATGGTGGCCAACCAGAAATCGCAACGTTTTCTTTATTTTCGCTGAAAATCTCAATAGTACACGCTCTCCAATATTAAGAGACATCCCGCGACGATCTGATTACTCGGAATTTCAGTCATTCTTTATCCCACCTTGGATGTGTTGGGAATTGCGAACTTGACAAGTTTTTTTTTTCTTTTCCAAACAAATGCAGTTTATCCTGTAACGGGCAACCAATCCTCTGGTTTTGGCAAAAAAAAACAGCAACCAGTGGCTGGCAAGAAAAGTTCATGTTTCTATTTGGCTGGTTTCCAATAGATAAATGAACGTGTCTAAAGTAGATGGGAACAATGCCAAAAAGACCAGCATGTTCCAAATTCTGCTTTAGACTTTGAATGTCACCGCCCTCCACTTGCACATGATGGAGATGTGGGCATGCAATCTCAATCTCACACTTACACACATATCGAGTTTGGGAGAACTATGACGATTAAAGCTGTAGCCGTTCACCTATTCAAAACAGTGTGGCTTGAACAGAAATCAGTTTGGGCATTGTTCACCTACAACTCGGTGAAAACAGGTAAATACAAAATAAGTTAAGATCGGCAGCATATAGTGGCCGCAAACGTTTGAAACAAATTATTCAACGGTGGCAAATTTAACAATCGATTGTTTAAGCAAATGTTCAAGCCCTTCAAATCAATGAAACGCGACGCGACGCCTGAACGAATTACTTGATTGTATTTGCCATTTCATCATTTGCAACATAATTTGCAATGATGTACGCAATCCACGCAAGATTTGCAACAGGTGTCACGGTATTTAGCCACCAGTCAGCACAAAGTTTACTGCCCTACCTAGACGATTCCTCCTCTCGCCCCACCCAATTATGTAAAGATCGTGATTCATACGTTCGTGAATCTGTTAGACCGAATTAACTGCGCAAATCTTTCAAAAAAAGACCATTAACGACCTGCACATACACACTATTTCCCATACTGTTGATTTTGATTGTTTCTATGGTTGGAACGAAAATTGGACGCAGATCGCGGAAATATCTAGATTTCACGTCGGAAACTCTATTAATCTTATTCCCTCGCTGAGTTTAGATGAACTGTGGACCGGATCGATCAAATTGGCCCCGTCTTAGGTATGGTCCAAACTTCATGACCTCTTCGATTAATGTTAACCGTTTCTTTAAAACAAATGCGTATTAAAACATGCGATTTGTTCAGCTATATCTGGCATTTAGTGATAAGCGGGGTGTTTTCAAATCTACTAGTTCGCAATGTTCTACCTGACCGGCACAGCGAAATGGAGGAAACATGAAAAAAAAAGTGACTGGAAATAGTGATGAATTGGAGGAGACAAGTACATAATGCGCTGACTGGCGAAGTAAGAGAAAGTTTTAACCGGGCCAGTAAAACACATAAGTTGATTCAACTATTTAAAAAAACGGAGCAGGCTGCTCGCCCTTATATCCTGTACAAATACCAGTGTTCTGGTTAATAATGCCCATTTTCACGGGAAAACAAAAAAAAACCTCGATTAATTTTCATTTTATAATTTAAAAACAAACAAATTATTATCCAGCACATTTCTTAGCCAGATTTGTATAAGAAAGGAAAATTTGGAAAATGAAATAATCGAAATAAATCACATTTATAGATGAGTTTTTACTTGATTTTGTTTCCTTTTTTTAAAAGGAAAAAAATACATACCCAACATTTCTTTTCTCCTTTGAGTGTGAGGCTGATCCGTGTAGACCCATTCAAAATCGTCTCTTTTCATTTTGATCCCTATGCTGTCGGGTACTTAATGTGAACGTGTGTGCAGTTTCACTGTCAGTGCTGCTTGTGAGCGCTGCCAGTTCATTCACCCACCCGTTAAGCAGCAATAACGCAGGGACGGCAAAAAAAACTTTCTGCAACGTACTGTACCCATGGGATGGGTGGGGGCGTGCTCCAGAAAGACTCAGATTGGCAGAGGTCCAAACAGGTGAGTGTGAAAGAGAACGCGAGGAAAGTTGAAATAAAAACAAAACACAGATGGTTGCTGAAATTAATGTATTTCTTTTTATATATATATATATATATATATAAAATAAAAATAAGGAGATTGCATTGAGGGTTGCAGGCTGTATTGAGAGAAACTGAGTGTGGTGGGTTGATAGACTGGTCGCTCTGAAATGTAAACTTTTTTTTGGCGTTAGTGCTATCTATTGGCACATGGCAACAAGGGCAAATCATGAAGGACAGGAAGTGGAATGAAGTCTCGCGGTAGTTGCTCGCAGCGCCCGAGCGGATGGTGGCTGCCGTTTTTTTTGTTGCGAGATTTGCTGCTGATATTTTCTAGTTAATTGTTGGTGAGATAAAGCACGGGGAGGAAACTGAAAGGGAAGGAGCTCGAATTCTGTGGGGTGTCTTTTTTCTTCTTAAAAACCTCTGAAATCTGGGAAAAAAAAATGGCTTCGGGCGACACTTTATACATCGCGGCAGACGGCTCGGAGATGCCGGCCGAGATCGTGGAGCTTCACGAGATCGAAGTGGAGACGATCCCGGTGGAAACGATCGAGACCACGGTGGTAGAAGGCGACGTGCACCAGCCCATGATCGCCCTGCAGCCCCTCAGCGACGACCCGAGCCAGGTCCACCAGGAGGTGATCCTGGTGCAGACGCGGGAAGAGGTGGTCGGGGACGACGCCGAGCTGAGGGCCGAGGACGGTTACGAGGACCAGATCCTGATCCCGGTGCCGTCGGCGGGCGCCGAGGAGGAGTTCATCGAACAGACTCTGGTGACGGCCGTCTCCGGCAAGAGCCGCATCAAGAAAGGGGCCGGCAAGAAGGCCACCAAGAAGAGCTACCTGAACGATGGGGGGCTGGACAGGACCGGCAGGAAATGGGAGCAGAAGCAAGTGCAGATCAAGACCCTGGAGGGGGAATTTTCGGTGACAATGTGGGCTTCGGGTGAGTACATGGGGAGACAAAACGCTCGGCATCGGTGCGTGTGGAAGTAAAGGGGAGGATGAAAAATAACGACCAGCAACCGAAATGCGCGCATTTGCGAGCTTTCTCTTCAGCTCTAGGGCGTGTCCCGCCGCAGCGGGAGGGGGAGGGGGAAGAAACGGTGAACAGGCGAAGGTTTCGGTGTTTTCCGTCGCCCGGTTGGAACTCGAGCGGTTTCTGAATGTTTTTGTTTTGAAGGGAAGCCATGTTTCCCCAGGTTATGGGCGCCGCCATGTCAGTATGGCCGCCCGAAAACATGGCTTCCCGATGGGGGAAGATGGCGGCTGAAGATGGCGGGCGGTGCAGGAGCGAGTGCGCTGCTGCTGTTCGGGCCTTGGCGCTGCTCTGACCGTTAGGCCCTCACTCGCGCTAGGCCTCATGGCGTAGTTCGACTTTCAGCCGCCGCGCAACCGAACCTGCTGCACGTCGTACGTCACTGAGCAAGAGGAGCAGTGTGGAAGGGTGGGGACTTGTGATTGACAGCAGCCCCAAAGCCAATGGGATGGGTGTATTCCTTCGGAGAAGCCAATGGAGTGGGCGGAGGGCGGGAGGTTACAATCAAGTTCGGTAGACGCGCAGCGGCGCCGAAGTGGGTGGTGCGGAGAGAGGGAGATCGCTGGCGGCTGTAGCGGGAGCGAAGAGACTCCATCTCAGCGGCTCATTGTTGGTCACTTCTGCCTCCTTTCTCTCTCTCCGATCCTTGCGAGTTAGATTTGGAAAAATCAAGTTCGTCCCTTTTTTTTGTATTCTTCTAATTAAAAGAAGGGGGGAGGAATTCTGGTGTCTGGGTTTTGTGGTGTTGGCTATTTTCTTCTTTTAAAATGTTGATTTTCCTAACCAAGCTTCGAAGATGCAACAATGTGATATTCAAATTTTTATACGCTTTTAAAGGTTAGCTGCCCGTGGATCTGGTACCGTGTTTGAAATGAAATCATTTTCCGTTCTTGAGGTAGTGAGGCAGTTGTGTAAAGAACAGTTTGACGTCCTGTGTTTAAGATTTTGTAGATGCCATTGCGGTCAGAATGTAAATGAGACTTTGTATAATGTAAAGCCAAAATTTTAATAGGTGGCATATTTTCCCTCCACTTTTTTTCTTCAATCGAAAGGTTGATGGGTGTGAAACTAGTTATAATTGTGAACGTTCAAGATGTATTTTCGGTAAACTTAACCCCCCCACTGATATGCAATATCAGTGAAGTTCATATTAGAAGAAAGTGTAATCCCTTAGTGCCCCCCATCCCCAAGACAGCAGGAATCCATTGACAACCCGGTTAGAGAAGACATTGTAATCCAAAAATCCAACTTGATCTTCAATAATGTGCAAAATTTATGTACATCCTAGGTTTTGGTGGCTGTTTATCAAAAGACTGGCCAACTGCGTAAGTTGAGTAGATTATTGTTCTGTGCTGAGATCAGATCATGTGTTCAAATCACGCGTAATAAAAAAAGTGTTTGAGAAACTCAGATTGTCTCCAGCTCTCTTAGCTTTCAGAGATAACACGGTGTAGAGCTTTCATCTCTGTTTACCAACATCTGTAGCGTTTTGCTTTTATATACATTTGTGTAATAATATATAGTTGAAGTTTCAGAAGATGTTAGTGATTCTTTGTAAGTTATGAAAATAAAATTGTTGATGTTGCTGTTTGTTTTTCAGCGTCATTCATAGTACAGGCATCTTGGAATAGCCAGCTATTTAGTCTTGCGCAACCTACTTAAATTTGGTGTGCAAGTTTTGATTTTTAATCTTGTTCGTCCTAGTTGCTTCATATTCATAAAATTAGCATTTCTTCTCTACTTTCAAACGTTTGGATTTATGTAGAAGCAGCTGATGTTTGGTATTTCTATTGAAAGTAGCTTCATTGTTTTAGATGCAGGTGCTTCAGATTGTGAAATATGTTATGAAAGCAAAGCTTGGCAGGTAGATTAGTGAACTGAAGAGAGACTGAGAGAAGGTTTCTTTCCAACTTCCTTTTTTCCCCTTAAAACAACTGCAATTGAATTGAAATTAAAGACTAAAACATTAAAATTGTGTTCTTGAAAATATGACTGGAGCAGATGGATCTGTAACTAAAGGCAGCATAACATGGAAGGGTCTCTGTTAGAATATTGTCTGATTTTTGGGTGCCATTTTAAGTAGGAAGACAAGGCATTGAAGAGGGTGCAGAGGAGATTATCCAAACAGTATCGGGGGTAAGGAATTTCAATTGTGAAACCATAAGAAATAGACGCAGAATCAGAACAGTTGATTTGCCCCATTGATTCTGCTCTGCCATTGAATCATGGCTGATATGTTTTTCAACTCCATTCTCCTGTCTTTTCCCATAATGCTTGATCCCCTTACTAATCACGAATCTATCTGTCTCTGCCTTCAAAGATACTCAATGACTTGGCCTCCAGTCTTCTGCGGCAATGAGTTCCACTGATTCACCACTTCGGATTGAAGAAATTCTTCCTCATCTCAGTTCTAAAAGCCATCCTTTCACTTTAAGACCATGCATTCAGATCATAGTCTGTCCTATTAGTGGAAACCTCCTTTTCTGTGTCCACCCTATCCTGGCCCCAGTATTCTAAAAGTTTCAATCCAAAACGCCCCACCCCCCAGATCCATCCTTCTAAACTTCGAGTACATACCCCGAGTCCTCAACAGCTCTTATGTGATAAGCCCTTCATTCCTGGGATCATTCTGTTGAACCTCCTCCAATGCCAGCTCATCCTTCCTTGGATATGGGCCCCAAACGGGGCGTGGAATGCATTGCTGGAGAGGGTAGTGGGGTCGGCCTTATTAGGGGCATTTAAGCAGCTATTAGGTAGGCATATGGATGATAGTATAAGGTAGGGGTGGAGGTTAGATAGGCCTTAGGTTTAGGGTAAAAGTTTGGCAAAACATCGTAGGCCGAAGGGCCTGTACTGTGCTGTACTGTTCTATGTTCTAAACTGCTCACGATATTGCAGTATGACCAGAGCTTTCTATAGCCCCAGCAGTACATCCCTGTTCTCCATCTAGCTCTCTTGAAATGAATGATAGCACTGCATTTGCCTTCCTAACTGACCAGCATGTTAAATTTAAGAGATTCCTGAACAAAGATGTGGGAAATCAGAACCTGGAATTCTTCTCCTTTTGAGTAATAAAATGTTAAAGGAATACTTTTTAATGCAGGTATTCAAAATACTTGTATTTTGATTTAGAGTAGCTCAAAAGAAACAGTTTCACTGCCAGGTAACCATAGGATGCAAATTTAAGATAATGGCAAGTTCAAGGGGTGGGGGAATGGATTTATGATGGATTGGGAATTGTAGCACAATGCTAATGGAATAGTAATCTAAAGATCAGGCATAATGACTCCAGATTTAGTCTCACTGCAGCTCAGGAGTTTAACTTCAGTAAATCTGGAATGAAAAACTAATATCAATGATAGTGACCATGTAAGTCCCAGGATTGTTGTAAAAACCTATCTAGTTTGCTAATGTCTGTTAGGAACAAATCTGTTGACCCAGTCTGGGCTATGTATGATTCCAGACTCGAGATGAAGTGTAACTGTCTTCTAGAGTTGTGTGTCACTCAATTATAAACAAAGTGGGCTATGGTAACCCATTAAGGAATAATCAATAGAAGTTGAGCTTGCCTTCTGAAAGTTACTATTGAATCTGATTGGAATGGATGCAGGGCTGTGGGGAGAATATAGGACATTGGGCTCATTGTTATATCTTTCAAAGAATTTGTATATGCTCAAATAAGGTGACCATCCTATCGTGCTGTATGATTTTATCTAACTGTTTACTGCTAGTATGTTGTGGAATAGTTACTGGTACACTGGTCTGCTTGAATAGCTAGCCGTATGTTTACTTGGTAAATACTGCACTGTAACCTAAGTATTTGGTCTCTAATTATTTAATTAATTTCCAAAAATGAGTCTCATTCTTTTTCTGTTGCTTTTGGTCATAGAATCATACAGCACGTAAACAGACCCTTTGGCCCAGTTCGTCCAACCAGTCCATGCCATACATAATCCCAGACTAAACTAGGCCCACCTGCCTGCTCCTGGCCCATGTCCCTCCAAACCTTTCCTATTCATGTATTTCTCCAAGTGTCTTTTAAATGTAATTGTACCCACATCTGCTACTTCCTCAGGAAGTTCATTCCATACGCGAATCAGCCTTTTGTGTAAAAAAAATTTGCCTGTTATGTTTTATATAAATATCTCTCCCCTAGTCTTGAAATTCTCCATCCCAGGGAAAAGAAAACTACCACTAACCTGAACTATACCTCTCATTATTTTATAAACTTCTTTCAGGTCACCTGTCAACCTCCTACAAACAACTGCAAAGGTGGAAAAAGTCCCAGCCTATCCATGAGTTAATTTGAGGTGAAAATAGTTCCTCACTTTTTGTACCTGAATTAAATTGTTTTCTGGAGCTTAACTCGCATAGTTAATTGACCAAAGCACACTTGTGCATGTATTTCAGCCACATCATCTGCTTGAAAAACATGAACTTTGTTAAGCCTTTAGTTTGGAAAAAATGCATCTTTCAGCGTGTAAATAATTTTAATACATCATGACTTAAACCCAGGCCTTTAGACAACCCCCATCTTTCTATTGGTATTTTTTAAATCATTTTCCATAATTATTTATCACCAGGAAGATGGTATGCAGAGTAAGTGTCTGTCTGTCTGTTCTAGGAGATAGCAGGAATAATTAGGGTGTGACCTTTGCTCCAACTCTTGTACAAATGACTGTCCTCTTAAACCAGTGGCTTGATATTGTCTATACCAAAGGCTTAGAGTTAACACTAGATATTTTTCTGCAGTACCCACAAGGCTTCTGAATAAAAGAACCTCCTGGTCATCTCAACTGATGGCACAGAATCTGACCCTCCAGGTTGAGTTCCACCTAAATCATCTGCTTTTGCCTGTGTATGAACAGATTTACCCAAATTGGCAGACAGAGCTATCAAGATTTTGT